CTATCATATATCTGATTTACATAATGTTTCGTACCGTATTGTGTCATGCATGGAGATCACAACCAAAATATACGTATAAAATAAAAATACGCGTGTACCAAAATATATACCCTTCTGGAAAGTAGCTCATTTTGGCCATAGAGCCTCGTTTTAGTGTATGTCACTTTAGCTAAATCCAAACGTTTCAACCATAAAAACGAGGATCAATAGCCAAAGTGACGTAGGCCTACTTTGCCGCGAGTGTATTAAAATAAATATGTTCCAGGAAACTGTAATTCTGCAGTAGTAGTATTAACTCTCGAATCTTAAATTGCAACTATTAGTAACTCAAAGCAATATATTTGGATCATTTTAATAAGAGAAATTGAATATATCTCGAAAGTGAAAAACCTCATCAATTTTTTCACCATCAATCAAAGATCCCGGATATGATGTCATTCGACGTCATGGAATTAGTTTTCCCTGGCCTCGGTTTTTTCCAGTTACGATACCATCTTACTGGAATCATATCTGGCAACTTTGACAAAGTTGATGATTTTATAGTATAATGATATATTACATTTCTTCTTTGAATGACCAAAACAAATATCACGCATATCAAAAATCATATTTCTGGCACTTTAAAAATTCATGAAATACCCAAAGCTGACAAAGATCTGATCGTGTATAATGGCAGATATAAGGGAAACAACAGAATCGAAAATTGATAGCGTATGTAGCATACATACTAAGGAGAAGGTATTATCATTTGAACAAAACGTGACGTTAATAACGTCGCGTTATTCACGCTAACAACACTTCCAAGCAAACAGTTAATTTAGAGCCTAGATGAACTGAAAAAAATATATATTTAACAGGTGTCAGGAAACAAAATGTAACCTGTAGTGTCTTGAAAGAAAAATACCCTGGTCTCAGAAATGGAGTTTTCAAAATAGGTCCTCAGGGTGGTGGCACGTTACCATTTGCAGTATATTGTGATATGACCTCGAAGAATGAAGTTGGAGTGACCGTGATTGGACACAACAGTGAATCAAGAACCAAAGTAAATGGATATGAACAAAGAGGTTCATATCGAAAGGACATTACATATGACGTCACAATAGAGCAGATTGTTGCAGTTATAAACGAGTCTAGTTACTGTGAACAGTTTATCAAATACGAATGTCACGGTAGCCTAATGAGTGATGCATGGTGGGTCTCCCGTCAAGGTAATGTTAAATATGGCTTTATTAAAAAGGGATACGGCGCTATATAATGAAAGAACTTTTAAACTTTTACGCAAATCGATTTATTCGCATCATGGAATTATGAATATTTACTAATTATATAGAGGAGCATTGACATGCATGCATGCAGCAACCCTTCGCAATCAAGCAACTGTATATATAGTCCCCAAATATTGTTTGAACACAATATGTTGCAACAGGAAAAATATATAAAGGCTAAAAATCGCAGTCATTTACTCTATTGGTTCTGAATTTCAAGGTAAACGGATGAATTACTGGAGTGGGGCAGCAGTCGACAGTGGAAAGTGTGCATGTGGGATGAACAACAGCTGCGTTGGAGGTAAACGTTGCAACTGTGATTTCAATGACCAAAATCTTCGTGAAGACAGTGGGTTCTTGACGGACAAGAACACGTTGCCTGTGAAGCAACTGAGATTTGGTGATACAGGAAGCTCAAATAAATATGGATTCCATACCCTTGGACAATTACTATGTTGGAGATAATACAATCATAAATTAAATAATGATGAATTTAGACAGTATTTGTTATACACTATAATATATGATATTACTACGACAGTTTTGATAAATTATTGCTCAATGCACGAGAAACACATTTTTGGAACGTACATTTTGGATCTAATCAGAAACAGCCGCGAAAAATGTAGAAAACTATATAGGCCTCTTGGCATGCAGAAATCGTCGAACATGCGACCATGTGATTCCAGTGCAGCGTTCTAACCAGCTGAGTTAACCTCAGAGTCCTGTTGGTGAACGCTAACCACAAGTTTATGTATACAGCAAATTCAAATAAAGTTGTGAGGTCTCTGTGAATATCAAAACTCACAGTCACAAAATTTCTCTCCAAGCGCGAAAATCGCAATGGGGTATGTCATTATGAGATTGCTTATGCATGCATGTTAGCACAATTCGAAATTCTCGTTATTCCACCTGATTCCACGACGGCGAAATTTTGTCTGCGAAATATAGATGGCTGCACATGAGTGATTGTATTGAATTTGGCCACTTCTTTTGCATTGGCAGTGAGTAGAACTGACTTCTATACTCACTGGCGAAGCGAAATTTTTTCTCGCGAAGCCTAATTTATCTTTACCGCGCGTGCACCCAATTCATTTCGCGCGAAATTTTTCGCATTTCGTCGAAGAAAGCGCTCGCGGAATCAGACCTTAATGTATGCGAAGATTAGAGTATGGAATAATAACCATCTTAAGGTGGCTCCCTCCAATTTTAATGTTAATGCGCACAACTGTGCTTTAAGACCAATTATTTCCTCTTTCTGCATGCACGCAAGATATATGATCACGAAACACGTATACAACATTGCCCCCAGACTGAGGGTCATGGTTAGGATAGGAATGAGCATTTTTAAGTATTCGCCAGGCCAGACCGTGCACATGCATTAAATACATACGGACCCATGCTTGTAAACTCAGCTACTAACAGTAATTAAGGGAATTTCGACTAAACATGCAGACATGGTAATTGTTCTGCAAAAAGCTCGATTTACACAAGCCCTGCGTTAACATTACCGTGCTGTTTTGGTTTGTGTATTTCTACATGCATGTCTGCTTCTTCTAAAACTGGAGAAAATTAAACTGTTATTGATTCAGACAAGATTTTGATATTTTACGTTAACCCAGGATTATAAGCTAACCGGTTGCTATCGGCCCCTGGGCAAAACATACAGTGGTCTGATTTAATGTAACTTAATTAGTTCCCTTTATATATTATATATATCGCTCTATGGCCCTTAAGTCATATTGAGCGCTCTACAGGATGAGCCATTGCCGCTTACGCATTGCGCACGCTCA